AAAAAAAAAAAAAAAAAAAAAAAAAGGTTCTCCCTCCCGCCTTCCCCCTATAGCAGATAGTAGGATTAGTCACGTGTCAAACATTCCATTCAACGAGAAGAATAGTTCAACAAAGCAATTGAGATCAAAACATGATTGGAAAAAAGACTAGACTACCAGCCGGGCCGCCTTCCCTATAGTAGATAGTAGGATTAGTCACGTGTCAAACATTCCATTCAACGAGAAGAGTAGTTCAATGAAGCAATTGAAATCAAAACATGATTGGAAAAAAGGTTCAACGAAGCAGGAGTGGTTTCCCCCTAACCACTGCATTATCCTCACAATGTTCGTTTTTGAAAAAAAGACTAGACTAACAGCCGGGCCGCCCGGGTCACCTTGTTTGCCCAGGCGGCCCGGCCGTGCAAGGACCAAAGAAGGTCCCAGCAACAAAGAAAAAACAAATCTGAAAAATGATAAAAAATCTGGGTTACCAGCCGTGCTGCCCGGGTCCTCAAAGCTGGCACGGTACCTGCCCAGGACGCCCGGCCGGGCAACTGGGCCTGGCGTTTCCCGACCCATATCCCACAGGAAAAAAAAAATCAAAAGGAAAAAAACTTGAAAAAAAGTATGTTGTGCAGAATAGCATACCAAACAACTTTTGGCTGAGGGTCACTTCCAAAGTCTTCACAGAATTTGAAATAAAAATAAAATAATGTAACTCAAATCATACCACCCCCGTTAAAGCCCTTTCAACCCTTTTCAAACCCCTTTGAGACCCTTACCCCCCACCCCACCCCCACCCTCCAAAACGACATGAACCCCCCCCAAAAAAAAGACAGGATTTGGGTCCCTCTCGGAGGGCACAAAAATGCCCCATGATCAGGGAAAAAAAAAAAAAAAGTTTTTGAGTCTTTTGACTATTTTTTTTACTCGCCCGAGTGACCGGGCAAGAGGGTCCAAGTCGCACTGGCCCGGGCCGACCGGGCCCGTGCGGGTCTGATAGCCTAGTAAAAAATCCGAAAAAAAAAATGTTATCCAGAAAAATAAACTGAACAACTTTTGCCTCAAGGTCACATCGGCATTCTTTACCCTTTTTTTTTTTTTTTTTTGTCCCGGCCAGGCAAGTGGTCCCGTCCCACTCTGGTAGCCTAGAAAAAAAAAATCGTTTCTATTATTAGTATTACTACCAATCAGCTAACAGAAGGACCGAGGAGTGACTGTCTCTTTTACAGAGTCCCAAAACAACCCGGGGCAGTTCACAGAGTTGCATTCCACGTACCTGCTCCTTCAGCTCGATGACCCTCTGCTGATATCGAGCTTCAACGTCATCTGCTCTTGCCTTTTCCTGCATGCACATTTTATAAATACTCACACTTTCGAATCTCGGCAAAAACTTGGATACGAGAAAAAATAATAATATTAAATATACTTGCGTGGAAGGACAATTTGGAGGACATTTCTATCATTGTTTCCCATTTTGCCCTAGAGCACCTCCCACATGGGAAAAGGTTGGTATTTTGCCCCAGACCACAGCCCATATCGGAAAAAGCAACCTTTATCAAAGTTCTGAGCCAGTCCTTTTTTCAAACAGCATTCCAGAATCTTTTTTTCTTTTTTTCTTTTTTTCTTTTTTCTTTCTCTTCTTCTTCTTCTTTTTTTTTTTTTTTTTTTTTTTTTTTAAACGTAAATATGCGGTCAACCTGAAGGCAGAGGGACCACACACAGCAAAATACGAGAAGGCGAGGTAGTTACAAATAAACTCCACCAATGAAGTCCTGCAAGGTAGGGGGGGCGGATATCACGGGCGGTATGGTTCCGCTTTTTAGAACACCGTGTCCTGGCTGTAGTGGTTACGATACTTGGCTCTTCTTGAGGCCGGGGTCGCCGGTTGGAGTCCGTGCTTGCACGGAGGAGGGCTGAGGCCCAGAGGTACAGATCCAATAACAAGGACGGAAGAGCAAGAAGAAGACATATTCCACAAAAAAAAAAAAAAAA